GCTCGGGGTGAAAAAAATACAAAAAAAAAAAAAAAAAGTTTTGTGCACAGTTGCTCGTTTGTAGAGCGGACCAAACTTTACTCGTAACTCAGTTTCAGGTTGTGATGAAGTCTTGGTGGGGAAAGAGGCAAGTTTTTGGCTAGGAAGGCATACTCATAACCAATCTTTGACTTATATAGACTTTAACTAGGCAGAAGAGAGGCTGTTTCCCTCTTGCAAAATGCGAATAAACTTATTAAAACTTATTCAGAAGAAACAAAACAAAATTCCTTTGTGTTTCACCACAGAAGGGCTTGGGGAACAAGGCCTGTGTAGCCGGTGGAAGGGTTTGTAGAAGAAATCGGAGCCAGGCCCTGAGGTGCAGGGTGAAAGGCCAAGAGGCAGTTACCACAAGCGGCCCAGGAGGTCGTAAGGAAAAACTTCTTGTAAGAAGATAAAAAAATCCTTTACCCCGAGAGCCGTTAAGCATAGAAAGAAGTTGTCGGGGGAGGCTGTAGAGTCTCCAGCCTTTGGGATAGTCGGAGCTCAGCTGGACAAGGCTCTGAGCAATTCAACAGGGGCAGGAGGGGGCCTCGAGAAGTCCTTTCCAGCCCGATTTTTCTTATGATTACGTGCAAAGGAATTGCACTCTGGACCAGTGTGGTGTGGGAGAGGATTTCTGCTGAAAGATCTGGTCTGCGGGTGTGCACTACTGCATCAAGAAAAGTGTTTTCTGTTTGAGAAATAGACAAGAAAAACACAGAAGAGGAAATGAGTTGTAACTTGGGCAAAATATTTCCCAGGCCTACGTTTTTCTTAGTTTGTCTAGTTCGTACTGAGGTTTGACTGGGTGCTTCACGCTATGTCATCCAGAAGCTTAGCTACAGGAGAAAGTAACCTGGCGTATTTAATGACGATTCCTTGTCTAAAGCTAGGGGTGTAAGTCGTAATGTAGACATTGTGATTTCGAAATAGCCTTCCTAATTGAGCTTATCTTAGTTTATGAACAGTGGAATATGTCCCTCCGGATTGTCCGGGTAGGTGTTGATGTGTCACCCTGTATTGTCTGCATCAGTGTTTGGATGATTAACTTTTCATTTGAAGTACCACAAATAGAGATGTGTCCAACCTGTTTTGTTACGTTAGCTGTGATCACAAAGATTCTTCCCTCTCATCTTAATCCTGGTGGTTAAGAATTATTCTGTATGGTAACCTCATACTTGATTTTTTTTTTTTTTTTCAAGGAAGAATTCATCAGTATTAATGAGAGTTGAAAGGTCTCTGATGCTGCCAAGATGCGCATGTGGATATAGGTGATGTCTCGAGTCAAAACGGGATGCTTTTAGCATTATGTGACTAACAGTCATTTGGGGACTGTTGTGTAACATCTGCGAGACATTAAAGGATAGGATGAGACAAATACTGTGAACCAGGAGCAAAAGTGCTGCATGGTGTATTTCTGTGACGTATCGATGCATAGTCTTCTGCTTTGGCATGATCCGTTAGTAGGGACCCTGAATGTACTGTTGCAGAGGAAATGAGTACAGTGCATCTTAGAACTGACATTAGGAGCTGATCAGAAGTAGAAAGGGGGAGTTTTCTCAAGGAATATTTTTCTACTAAGTATTATTTTTTTTTTTTTAATAAGAAGTGCTGTTGCTGAATTAAAGCAATGAGGGCTCTGCGCATAAATCTAGTGAGATGGTAAAGTATCCCAAACATGGTATATTCATGTACTTGCATAATTGGGCTAGTTGAGTTTGTTCCTTTCCCTGGGAAAGTCTTTCAGTTTGGGTAAGGAAATGGGGGAATCTCTGTGGCGGGTTCTGCGTTCCTGGAGGGATTTGATTGTGTGCCCTCTTTGTTTTAGGTGATGGGCTACTGTACCAGTTAATTTGGTTATTGGGTGTACAGATACTTGATTCAGCGATGAGAGAAGGCAGGATCGTGAGGTGTAGAAGTGGTGGCATCAGTAGATACCTGGACAGACTTGTAGGGAGTGTTGGGGAGGAGCGTGGTCACGGCTTGCTTGGAAACTCGCCTCTTGAGGAGGTGCAGCAGAGAAGCAAAACTAGGTTTTCCATGTAGGTAGATAAAAGGTCCCCTGATGGTGTTTCCTGAAATGCCCCTGCTGTCACCTGCAAGGAAATACAAGGTCAGACAGACAAGAGGCTCACTGTGTAGCTGGGAGTGTGGTATAAGAGGAAAGTGTTCAGACTCACTGGGAACTACAGAAATGTGGAACAGAGGGAGCGTTTACAGAGAGGAAAAACTTCATCTAGAGAAAATCAAAACCAGGCTTCTGGCACTTAAAATTGAAAAGCTTTCATAGGGGAGCCTTTAACAGTTTCTTAAAGGCAGAGTTTCAGGTGTGGAAGAGCACGCAGTTTGGGATGATGCATTTCCTTGGGGTGAGGTTTTAAGAACCACGTGCCTTTGGACAAGTGGCAGGATTGAGGTTGGCAGAAATGGCAAAGTGTATTTTGAATAAATAGCCCTATTCTGGGGGTGGTGGGGGGGAGAGGGGAGGGGAGGGCGGAAGGGTGGCTGGACCAAAGCTTGTCTGCTTCTACAGACAAATCTGTAAAGTACAACAGAGAACTGGAATGGCTGGTTTGAAATGGGAATGCTTATCCAAAAGGCTTGTCACCCCTGTCAGTGGGACCTTCTGATGCTAGGGCACAAATTACACAGGAAAGATGGAATAGCTCACCCCAAGGGAGAAGTGGCAGTATGCGTTGAAGAAAGCTTTACTGCCAAATCTGGTTGCTGGTGGGTTTTGTCAGTAACAGTCATCTGGGCTGAAATACCAGCCCTGTAGAGAACAACCAACCTGGTTACTGACCACCCAACATGATGGAGGGAATGACCGCTCTGTTAAGGAAAATCAAAGGGGCAGCAAGGACTGGATAGAAAAGCAAAGGGAAGAATTCCTTACACTCGTGTGGGTTGGATCACACACATTGGTGTGTGACGCCAAGTGCAATTGTTTAGAAGCCATGAATCGTGACTTCTTAGAGCCGCTACTCTGAGAACCCCTGAGAAAAGCAGTCGTTCTTGACTTGATCTGGAGCAGTGCTCAGGTAATTGGGTTCAGATGTTGCTTTAGAACAGCCAGACTGTTGTTTTTAATATTCTTGCAGGAATAATAAAAGCCAAAGAAAAGACTGATGCGTTTAATTTTGGAAGGGTGCATTACATAAGATGAGGAGGCTCATTAACTCACATATGGGTTAAATATAAAAACCAGAATAAGGCAGACAAAAAGAGTTTGAGAAACAGCTTGCAAAAGGGATAAAACCAGCCATAAACCCTTTTCTTCTTCTGATGTGCTGGGGTGGGGTAGGGAGAGATAGCTGCAAACTTTGTAAGGCTGGTAGGAACAGGGGATAAGAAAGAACACCTACAGAAAGTAAAACTTAAATTAAAAACTTAATTATTTGTGTGCTCCCATGTTCACTGTGGAGGTACTTAGGGAGGTTTTAATGGAAAATGGTGACATAAGCGCATCAGAAACTTTGAGTGCAGTATCCTACTGGGCATTGTAATAGCAGGCTCTGAGACAGAATCTTTCTCTATAGGGAGAATCATTAGAGGACATGTCTCATTAATATGCCAAAAGAATTGGCTTTAGAGAAAATAAACATGAACGGTGTTTAAGTGATGTGATTTGATGATATACACCTGAAACTTAAAAGAAATTTGAATCTGAAATCACCAAAGTCTTAACTTGGGTGCATAACCTATCACATAACTACTCCTTTCAAGTGAAATAGAAATATGCCAATATTTTAAGATTTTTTGAGGGAGGTACAGGCAGAAGGCCAGATTTCTGTAGTCTGTAAATTGAACTCGTGAATAAGTAGGCATGAATTACAGAAGAGTCAGTATGGTTTTGTATGGCTGTCTCTTTTCTTTTTTTTTTTTTTTTTTTTTTTTTTTCCTTCCTTCAGAAGTGCGTTTTGTTTTGCAGATCTGCTGAAGTTCTCTGAAGGGCTTTATAATGTGGCCATGGATGAGTTGATTGATGTACTTGGATTCCCAAAGGCTTTTGATAAGCCTGTTGTTAAAGACTCCATGGGAACCCAGGTGCTGTGAGACAAGAGAAGGCCTCTCATGGAGTAATAACTAATAGAAAACAAAGAGTAGGAATTAATCTTCAGTTTTTTGCAATATGGACGTAGAAATGTTTTTATGCGGTTGAATTTCACAGCGATCTTGTAAAGCATGTGATTTTCAACGTATTTGTAAATCTGCTAAAACAAAAGAAGAGAAAACTAATAGTAAAGAGTTGCAGGAGGATCTCTCCATTTTGAAAGACTGGGCAATGAAAATAGGACTTGAAATTTTGTACTGGTAGATGCAAAGTAACACAAATGATTCTAACTTCATATACACAACTGATGGGTTTCTACTTAGGAATTTCTAACTGATGATTCCTACTTAGGAAAGTGATCTTGGAGTTACACTTGATTATTCTAGAGAAAGTCAGCTCCTAATATTGCTTCCTTGAAAAGCAATGAGCTATTTAGACAGGAAAGAAGACAGCACTAATAGGCACAACTGTGATTTGACCGTATCTTGAACCTGGTGTACAGTCTGCTTTTGTCTTCTTTCCACTACCCAAACATGATGTAACTGAACTGCTGTAAGATGCATATTCTTTACAAGGAACAATTAAATAGAGTAGGACTCATCAGTCTGGAAAGAATATGTTTGAAGGACACTTGAGTTCTGTAAAAGTACAAGAGCTGCAGAGAAAGTTGTTGGAGAAACAATGGATATTTATTCACTTGATACAAAAACTAAGAGGCACCTAATATTTGTGTATAGTTTGTGTAGTTTGAAAATTGACCAGACAAATTAATGAAGGAAAAATCCACTAAGGGCAATAAAACAATGGCAACTGTGGATCATGGATCCCTTGAGCTAAAGGTTCTTGGAAGCTAGGAGACTAGTAGCAAAGGAGCAGAGATGGCTGCCCTGTTTCCTGGTTGACATCTGACACTGGGTGGTGTGAGTGCAAAGACGTTGGCTAGGTAGACGTTTGGCCTGACTCACTGTAGCCTTTCTAATGTAGTGCAGGGAAAAAGTGCTCCTGCACCAACTGTTTGCCCCTGTAATATATGCACTGTGTCACTTGCCTGGGTAATGTGCTTTGAGTAACTAGAAAAACCCTACTTCATGGTCTTCCATGGGAGGCAGCAACCACTTCTCTGAAATTCTCCTTTGTTATCACTGTTCCCCCAAGTCTGTCAATTTTGCATGGCCAGTGGCATCACAGGTGCCAAGAACAATTAGAAGAAGCATAAATATTTGTTTCACTCTCCCTTCCAGAAACTGTAAAATGTTACTCTCTATTGTAAAATGTCATCAACTTTGGAAGGCATTTCTATTTGATCTCTTCAGTTTGTGGCTCATTTTAAGGCGATGAGGCATCTTTGCAATCAACTTCACCAACGCTCATAATGTAGAATTGGGAAAAATGTTTGTCTGGGTGGCGGGGGAGGGATGTACCTTAGTAACTGGATGTATCCCTCTCAAAAAAATTATTACATAAGAGTCCAAAAAAGTTCAAAATGCATCAGGCAAACTAAGACAACTGCAGCATTGCTGTCTTCCAGTTAATTTTCCAGCTGGTTTGAGACCAGAAGGCAAATGCTCGTACACAGGCAGCTGAAATCACAGAGTCAAAGAATGGCTGAGGTTGGAAGAGACTTCTTGGGATCATCCAGTCCAACCCCATGCTCAAGCAGGGCCACCTAGAGCGGGTTGCCTAGGACCATGTCCAGTCAGGTTTTGAATATCTCCATGGATGGGTACTCCACAGCCTCTCTGGGCAACCTGTGCCAGTGCTTGACCACCCTCGCAGTAAAAAGTGTTTTCTTATGTTCAGATCGAATTTCCTTTTTTTAAAATTTGTGCTCACAAGGCTCTGTGCCATTTAAAAGAGGTGTGGTGTATATCAGCCTGGACTTAGAAAAGCAGAAGGCTGAAGCAGTGCAAGGTATCCAGCTGGGGTATGAGGAATGTCACAGGAACCGTCAGTGGCAGGAGTCTGGAAGTGCTGCTGTTCATACTGTAGCCAGTAGCAGTTTTAATTTGTGCTAAATTCCAGAGGGAGCCTGTTGATTGTTTTGTACAATAAAATATCCATGCATTTACATGTGGAAAAGGTGTGTTCAATGTGAATTAGCTGTCAGGCACAGTTTGTGGAGTTTTTGGTGTCTGGGGATGGCAGTTTTAGGCTCATCTCTCAAAAGATCTGTGCTTCCTGCTGTCAGATAAAGGGGAAACGTCTTGATTTTTTTTTTTTTTGAGTTTGAGATACCTCACTTTTCCTTTTCCTTTCCTTTCCATTTCCTTTGCTTTGTTTTTAAAGGCAGCTGGGCATCCCTGTTGTCTCTAGCAGGTAATGAAATCTCTTGCCATTTTCCTCTAAGGTTCTGTTTTCTTCTGGGCTGTCAAAATAAATGGTTGTTACAGAGAAGTGATGAATTAAATACTGCCTTCAAGTGACAAGCGCCATTTGTGTTTTCACAGTACTTACTGTAAAAGAAGAAAACTGCATCACTTTCAGTATTTTATAAATCATCATGAAGTTCCACACTTGCCAGTTTTTTTTCATGTGTCTCTTATGGTAACATGGTGTTGAAAAGGCTATATAGAATTGATGGGGGGGGTGACATCCTTATGAAGACAGAGAACTTGTGTAGCATTGTGTACTGAATGGCAATGACATGAGGTAGAAATGACAAAAGTAACTGGAGATAGAAATGCTGTATTTCTTTCCCTTCCCATTTGTAAAGTTCTCATACCTTACATATTTGTCTGTTTATATGAACTATAAATATAGATTTTCCACATGTTGTTGAAAGCTCTCTCTTTTTTTTTTTTTTTTTTTTCCCTTTTTCCCCAGGAAAATGGGTCATGCCAGAGACTTCAAAAATTTATGGAAATTAACTCTTACTCATTTTTATGAATCCTTTGTAGGAAGAACAAAAGTTATTCTCTGTGATAATAAGGAAGGTTTTTTGTTTTGTTTTTTTTTTTCAAGAAGACTATATAACCTTTTTCTAATCAGTAACATTGCCTTCTTTTCTTTGTTTTACTAGTTATTGGACAGCCCACAAAGAGTAAGCGTCCAAAAGAACCTGGGGAAAACAAAATTAAGCCTGTCAACAAAAAAGTAAAACCCAAAATCCCCAAAATGAAGGAGAGAGAATCTGCTGACTCCTCTCTGAAGTCCCAGTCCATACTGACACAGGTGATGGATAAAGGCCATTTCCAGAAACTAGCTGCTACTTTAAGCCTGTCTGCAGGACAAAGCATAGAACTGCGATGTAAGGGGAGTAATGTTACTTGGAACTATCCTTCATACTTAGACACCTTTAAAGACTCCAGACTCAGGTAAGCTATTTTTCATTTTTTTTTTTTGGAAAAAAAAAAATCTAAAACTTTTCCTACAACTTTCAACACCATTGGTTTTTTTGTTTGTTTGTTTACATTTTTGCAATCAAGATGTTCCACCTAGTGGTTTCTAATATCAATGAAAAAGGATGGGCGTCTTTCAGTCGTCACCAGTTACCGCTCTGTGATTTGCACTGTGGAATAGTCTTGTAGCATGTGAACTGGATTTCCTTCGGATGAATCTAAAATAGAAGATGTGGTCCAGTGGGGCACTGGTGTGCTTCAGCCACTAACAGGGAACCGCATTAGAGCTAGTCTGAAGTAAAACTCTCAAAATGTGTGAATGTGGATGGCAGGTACTCACTACCAACTCTGTTGCTCTGCTTCTGGTGGGCTGTACTGGTTGCTAATGTAGCTACCACCTGAGACACGAAAATTAATTTCCTGAGGAGGCTCAAACCCACATCTCTCAACTAGCAAAAAAAATATACCAGCCACCGCTCTAAGGACCAAGTGAGAGTAGTCTTTATTTTTTCAGTCAAAGTTAGCTTTGCGTGCAAAAGCGAATTGCAAGGTTTGTGGCATGACAAAGTCCAATGCTGAGAATAGTCACCTTGGGGTTAGGAAGGCTTTTTCTTTCATGTAGTGACATCTTAATGGAAACTGCATAAAAAGTTGTTAGAGCAGAGAGAGGAACTGAGAACTCTCTCCCTTTCTCTGCCCCACCAGATGAGTGTACTGTTGGTCTAAACATCTTCTCCAAAACCCCATACACTTGTTTGCCTTCCCAGTTTTTGAGCATAGTACGCATAGCTAAATGTAGATTAAATGTAGTAATTTAGTTCTGTATTTGAAAGAGGATGGGCATATAAGGAGCTTAAGGATGCCTTCCACAGGTATTTTTTTGCCATGAGTAGTGGTTTTTTTCACTGGCTGTTTTATGGAGATTTATGTGGCTATGAAAGACAAGTAGTGAAGAGACTGTGCAGCACTGTGAATGATGCCCTAGGAAAAGCCCCTTACAGCTCTTTCTTGAATTATTAGGTGAGAGAGGCACAGAGGTGTGAGCAAAGGTGTCAACTCCTATTGTCCTTTTGTTCCTAAATTAAGTAGAAGTATGTTTCCTCTCTGTAAATAACTGAGGTTATCTGAATCTCTGTGATCCATTTCACTTATTTACAGATATGATGCTACCTTAAAATCACTCCCAGTTAATTATTTTTTCAGATATATTCTTCTCCTTTCCACTTCCCTTTTCAAAGAGGAGTGTTGAAGATTGGCAGTTATATGCTCTGATCTCTGTATAGCCTTCTTCATGAGCCAGTTCTTCTCTGAGTGTTTATTTGCTTGTCCCCTGACAACTGAGGAATTAAAGAACTACACTGGCTGAATGAACCTCTGTAGCTAGTGCAGGGCTTCTGTCCTAGTAAGTTAGAGCAGCAATCCTATTTCTGCCGAGGGCTTACCGCAGCAATATCTCTCAAAAGATCTTGCGGCCGATTTAAACAACTACTGCTTTTTCTTTTGCAAGAAATAATGTTTTATCTGGATTTATTCCAGTAGGTGGCGTTTAGCAGCTGCAATACAGACCTGGCCTTCCAGCAAGCCAAAGCTGAATGTGCAAAATAATATCACTAGGGAGTGTGTACGTGGTGGTAGTTGTCGTTTTCAAGTGTATCTTATGTTTTGTGCATTTGCAAATAGGTTGCTGGCATGATTGGGTCCTGTAGATCTCCAGGTCATGTTATCTGAGTATTAGCATCTGGCATGGAAGAAGGCAAGGCAAGTATTCACAGTTTTTGGAGAGGAATCTGAGTGCTTCTTCATTATGTGTTTGACTGTTTACTCCTCTCTTGCGAAATCAGGTATTTTTCTGGTGATGCACGTGGGACAAAATACAGAATTTAAGGTAGTTTAGTGGAAAAAGATACGCATTTCCTAATTGTGTGATTTGTCATTTTGTAGTTTGAAGTAGTTTGGGATCCTGTTGCCTCAGCAATTTACCTTTCTCTTCTCACTCAAGTTCACAGTATTTGCAATATTTTAACCATATTAAAAAAGTAATAATGTCACACAAAAAAATGCTATAAAACATTTTGGCTGTGTGGATGTGATGTAACTTGCCTAAGTGTTTATTTTCTTTTAGAAGCGTGTTAGGCTTTACATATAAGGGTCTATATTGAAATATGGTGATCTTTGCTTTAGAGAAATTGTTTTGAAGTAAGTTATTGCAGCAGTAAGACTGAGTTAGACCAAGTCAACAATTTTAAATGTAAGCAGAAGATCCTATAATTAACTAGAGAAACTGAAAACATAGATTAGTAGCACACTTCAGAGTCACAGAAGAGTAATAATTTATGGAGGCATTGACAACAGAATATTGTGCAGTTATATTTTCATCACATTTTTAGCATGACTTTGGTAATTATCTCAAGATCTTTGCTGTAGTGCTAATAGATGCATATGAAACAAAGATCTGCTTTATAGAATGTGAAATAGGAAATTCATATTCTGTGGTTTTAGAACGCTTTGATTGAATTTAACTGGAAATATCATAAAGATAGTACGTTATTTAGTTAGCTCGGTTGGTAGTGTTTGTAAGTGAACTGTCAGCAGAAAAGGTTATTAACAATGCTATCTTTCAAGAGGAGCTTAGGTCTTCCTTGCTGCGTACAAAAGACCATGCACTGAGCACCAAATATAGTAGGCAAATGTTAAAATTTTACAAATATATTATACTCATTATTTTAAAACAAAATGCTGAATATAGGACAAAGGGGGGAAGATCAGAAAAATTATTAGCGAATAACCTATGGCAAAACTTGTTTAATCATCTAGATAAATATATATTCAGTATCTTCTAACGTTTTTTGAGTGCTTAAAGACCTAGTGTAAGGTAATCCCTTCATTACCAGTTAGGGAGGTGTGGAGTGAAACCTGAGCTAATTAACTGGGCTGGGTTTTTTTACCTTGGATTTGCATGCTGGTCTTGCTGGAGTTGGGGCACTGGTGCAAATCAGAGTTGGCGACAGCAACGGGGGGAAGTGGTTGGGGTCTGAGGAGGTAATGGAAAGTGAAGGAGGAGTGGGTTGCTGGACATGGAGGACAAGTGGGGAGGAGGGGCAATGGCAATGAGGTCCGTGCAATTGCTGTGGACTAATGACTGCCATTCTTTTGTTCATTTGTACATCCCTACAGCAACAGCTCAGGCATCCAATTCCTGTTTTTTTTTTTTTCTTTAAATAATAGGAGGGATGTACAAATTCAACTGGTCTGTTGGGAATTTTAACAAACAAGGTGTTTTGCATCTCCTGGGAACTTCTAGCATCCTCTAGCTGCTACTAGAGGAGGCTTTAAGGACCCTGGCATCTAACAGAATTGCAATTATGGGAGGCAGAAGAGACCTTGAGGTTTAGGGTGGTGAGGGCATTTGTCGCTCAGTTGGTTGGAGGGTTTGTTAACAGCAGAGGTCCAGGGCAGGAGCTGACGCTGAAGATGCATGCTCACTGCCTTCTGTTTCCTGTCTGTAGTTCTTGTAGAAGAGGGTGTTTTTTTCGTTTGCAACTAGTTAAATTTAGCATCCGGGTAATGTATTTCCTATAGGTGGTTGCAAAAAGAAGTAGGGGTAAAAGCCAGATGTTTTGTATCCATGCCATGCTTACCACATTTTTAATTCACCCATGTGGTAAGGAGAATACAGCAGCCTGGAGGACAATATGACTTTTCTAAGAAGGAAGAGGTTATAATTAGAAAAGCCATTTCTGTAGTATTAGTGGCTATGCTTTCTTTGAGTTTGTCTTTGTAGGTATACTTCATGACCTGGTAAATAAAATATTTTTGCTTGCTGTACTAGAGTGTGTCAGTTTTTAATAGGTCTGTAGCTGTTAACATATGCTAAAATTATTATATGGGGGGAGGGAAAAACGCTGAGTGAAAGGAAGAGGAGGACTCTTTGGCTGTTTCTTGTTGAGCCAGAGGAGAAGTCCTCTCTTTCCACTATCCTAACTGGAGTATGTAACAGTACACGCTGAAATGATTTACTTGGCTTTAGAGACTAGCATGCAATACAGCTCTGGGGAGAAAGCTAGAATCATGCAAACTTGGCTCCCGAGTTAAGGACACACACCAGCTTCCTTCAGGACTAGCTTGTTATCTGTTATGCTCTCTTGCCTTGTGCAGCATAAATATACCCTGCAGATAACTTTTTGTCTGAAAATTTTGTGTACTGGCTGAACTGGCCAAAAATCTTGGCGGTGTTAATGGTCAAAGGTAGCTCATGCACCTCCAGAACAGAAGGGCTGGAATGTTGTTTCGTAAGACTGTGCATAACAAATTAGTGACTGCGGGCTCCCCCACAAGCTGGATCTACAATGTATGAAAAGGGTCAAAAACTGAGAAGGATGAAAGAAAAATAAAGGCAAGCACATTCTCCTTTTTTTTATGCTTTATAGCAAAAAGCCCTTCTAAATGAAGGCAGTCTAATTTGACATGGTCTCTGCTCTGCCTGACTTCGTGCATGGGTCTCTCACTTGCTGAAGACCAGCTGTATTTATCACAGAACTTCATCTGACAAATAAACTCATGTGAAATGGAACTGCTCTAGTGGAAGAAGTTGGGGCAAAGAGCTGGACATGCATCACATGCACATTTGTGTTGGCAGGGGGTGTATGGACAGGAGCACTCTCACAAGTATCGAGGAAACTGTATGTTGTAGAGGGCGAAATTAGCCTGCTTTCAGTGAATGCAGGCTCCTGCTGGCTTAGTGGGATGTCAGTTGTGCTCATGTGTATAACTGAATTTTGTTTTGTTGCATGTGCTCTGAAGTCTGAAAGGGATTTTTTTTCTTGTGTTAAACAGCAAGATGTTATGTTCCTCTCCTAGCGGGCTTGTATTTGAGATAAGCTCTCTTTTTTTCAGTATGAATGTAGCTGCTTGAGAGGAGTTTGCTAGATGCTCTTTGAGTGATGCGATGTACAATGTCTTTTTGTATCTCTTTTTTTTAAGCTTCTAAACTTGGCATAGTTTTTCTGGCAAAGATCTTTTGAACTTCAAATAACTAAAGCTTAATAAGATGAATCTATGAAATAAGATTTTGGAGTAGTTTTCTTTAAACAGTCTTGAAATGTTTGTATATACATCATTTTTACTTTGTGATATGTAGAGCACAGCAATAGTTTGGCTTTTGAGTCAGATTTCCCAGCATCTAAAATAGTAATGAAATAAAAGTTATCCTGGAAATACTGGTCAGCTGTAGGATTTGCCGTTTATAATTTACTTTATATGGCCTGTTTTCTCTGCTTAATATGTTCATGTCACAAGTTTCAACACTTCCACTCTCAGTTGCCAGGTTTTGTTAGTGCATGTTTGTGGATGACTACCTTGCTAGGCTATTTCCATTGATTACTGGATAGCTTGTTCTCAGTTAAGTAGAACACACTGTACAATAATTAATTAACTCTGACCTTATTTTTCTGTCTGCTGGGGTTTTGAGCTATATTTCAGTGTCTGCATTAATGGTTGGAGGCAAAAATGTTCTGGCATAATGGTTTCTCTGTAATGTTGACATTTAGTACTGGATACTTGCAAAACATTTTATGCTGATATAGTCATGTAGCCTATGAAATGTGAACTGTGAAACTAAATAATAATAATAAAATAATAATACAGACTAGGACATGTTTTGGATTTCTCTTTTCTTCCTGTTGGGTATGATACACAACAGGATCTCTTGCACAAATAGGAATCTCTCAAAGCTTATCCAAAACCTGGAGATAATTTATAATGTAAGGTAGTGTATTTATTAAAAATTAAAATGCTACTACTCCATAATTACATGATTCCAAAAAGTGGAATCGGTCGAGGCCATGTAGGACAAGCACCTTAGCTGGTAGGAAACATGATTTGCCTGTTTCCTTCAGCAGGCCTCAAAACTGCCCTGTGGTGGATGAGTGTACTAATGGTGTCTGAGGGCTTCAATGGAAAAGATAATTCTCAGTTAGCCCTGGTTGGGTTGTGTATTTGGTGTGTTTTTAATTTCTAAGCTACTGGCCTTGGCTGGAGGCCGAATGTTGGGTTACATGAAGTGTTGCTTATGATTGCTGGTAGTCTTGCAAACTGCTGGCAGAACACCTAGGGAGTCAGAAATTTCGGGAAGTGCGCATAGCTGGAAGTAGTGGCCTCTCTGCTTAAGCAGTTATTCTGCCTGCAATGGAGACATAAGCAAAACAGAGCATTTAGAGCATACAGTACAGTCAGGCATGTCTATAGTACCGCTGTTACACAGTGAGAAGTTGCTTGAGAGGATAAGAATTTCTTCAAAACATGCTAATCCCAGAAATAAATGATTGTCAGGCACCTGCCTTACAGAATAACTGCCACATTAAGAAGAAGAAACAGGAGGATAATAAATATTCAGAGAACCTACAGTTGAATAAGAGTATGGGAATTGTTCAGACTTCATACAAGCTGCGTATTTGTCCAGACCCTGTTTGAAACACTGAAAAGAAGTTTGTTATCAAATACCTAAAACTGGAAAAATCTCTCCTGACTTGGTTAGAACAGAAATGACCTTGTAACTCGATGTTTCGCAAAGGAAAGCGGGAAACCTTCGTGTTCTGGATGTGCTACCATGTGAAGGCAGGTGGTTTTGAATAACATTTTTTTAAGGGTCGGAGCAGCAGTGGAGTGCATCAGTACCGCCACATGGCTGTCCTGACAGGCTTCCCTGAGAGCTGGTACTGTTGGACCATTGCTTTTGCAATCCAGCAAAAAGCAACACAGCAGACTGCCAGCTATAACACCACCTGTCTGCAAGAAAGAGCAAGGAAAGCAAACTTTAAAATAAAAAAAATAAAAAAAACCCAACCAAACAAAAAAAACCAAGATGAGGTTGTAGCTGCTGAATTTCATAGATGGGACCTTTGACCCTTAGAAATGTTGTCAGTATCTACATATTTATAAATTTTTGCACATTTACAAATGTCAGTCCACTGCGAGATGTATCTGGGAAATTCAGGAGAAGGACAAGAAAGCGAATCAAGTCTGGAATAATCACACAGGCTGAATTTTGTGTAGTTACATGATGATACTGTCACTATACCTCCAGAGATGAGGAAACTCCAGCGAGAGGATGCCAGTGAGGTGGCTTAGGGCAGATGAGCAGGCAATGCAAAATGACTTACTTGCAGAACAAATCCAAGCTGAGACAGAAGCTCTTTATGGTGATGGTTGCAAGTGGAAACTTGGGCCAGTATGTTAAAGATGAGAAAGCATTCACACTGAAAGCAGGCATAAGTCATCACACAAACTCTTATTAAAGTACCTGCTACTTACTACTCCTGAATGATCTTTGTTATATACTATTGAAGCAGTGCTACAGTCAATGGTACAAAAAAAGGACTGAGGTGCATGCAGGTTGACTTGGAGCATGAAAATATGGGATATACATGGACAAACTGAGACAAAACGTAGCTGAACATATTGTCTACAGCAGTCACAGCCCAGTTTCAAAATGGGGACTGAAAGGAATCCAAGAATGAACTGTACAAGACAAAAGCTTGCAGGTGCTCCTGTGTAGTTGAAATCAATAAAACTACTCATGTAAGCAGGTCTTTGCTGGAGCAAAAGGGGAAGTTGCAACATAGCTCTGAAAGCAAAAGGTGGGTCAGTTGCTGAGTAGGAATAAAAAAATCAAAAGTATAAGTGAGCTGACAGAAATGTATGAGGAAATACATCCGTACTTGTCTGTGCCTTTTGTTTTTTCTTCTTCCCCAGTATAAAGCAGCTTGACAGGTACGGTCAGCTGATCCTCGCAAATTCCACTGCAGCAGACACAGGTGAATATAGCTGCTGGCTTCAGCTGTGCAGCGGTAACAAATGCAGGAAGGATGAGACTAAAACAGGTTCAACGTACATCTTTTTCACAGGTAATTAACTCACTGGGGGATTAGTAATGGAGATATATTTGCTAGTAAAACAGCAATAAAGCTACATCAGCCATTTCACTGTCAAGATTTTTCTTCCACAACTTTCATCTTTTTTTAGTGGATGTTACGGAAGACGGTGCTGGTGAGCAGAAAATTACTTGCTTAGTGTGATTTATGAGTCCATTTTCCCTATGGATTATGCTAAATGTGTACCCAAAATAGCACATAATGCAATGGAAGGCAAATACCTTTGAAAATACTAATACACATTCTGAGGATCTTCTACATAATGAATAAAAAAATGTTTAATTTTTGAAAATGTATCTGGATAAAGAAAATAAACCTGTGCAGAAGATTCATTTTGTCATGGCATTCCAATCACCACGTGGACATCCCCCCCCCCCTTCCAGTTACCTGCACTGACTTAAAAATCTTGACCTCATTGGTCTTGGTAAGGCCACAATTTCTCCCAAGAGTCTATATAGCATCTTGAGAGGCAAAACACTCTTAAGTACGTTTGTTGTCCCACAGAGCTTGAGGTTGACTGTAGCCCTAACACTGCATGGATAGGGTCATAGTAGGTAACCATGCACAGTTTACCGCTACTTGGTACAACAGAGCTGAAATCAGATGGTTAATTTGTTCTTCTCATGGAAAACATTCTGAATGGTAAAACAACCTTCGCTGCCTGATTAGAGCTAAAGCATTCTCGGCTAGCAAATATTTCGGTACAAAATGGTAAGATAGAATTGTTTGCAATATGTTTTGGAGCTAAATTAGACCATGAGACTGTGCAGAAGACATTTATCAGAAGTGCTTAATGTTCTGAGGATACATTCCTTTAGAAAGGCTGGAATAAACTTTTCTGTCAAGTTATTATTTAAATGCTCATGCTAGAAAGAGGAATTTCAGCTTTATATTTTTTATATTTTCAGCATGCCAAATATGGAAATACTCTGTCATTCTAAAAGCACTAAATATTTCAGCTACTTAAAGCAGTGAATCGAATATTTTGCCTAAAATCATATGGATAAGGCGGCTGTAGCTCCAAAGAATATATCTTTCTAGTAGTGCTTATCTTACCAGTGGTGGTGGGTTTTTTATGTATGTTACCCTTTAAAAGTGGGTGAGTGAACAGAATTAGATCCAGATGAGTATTTGGAGACTTATGAAAAAGGAATTCCAAATATTTTCTTAAGATTAAAAAAATCTGATTACACTGCATAGAAAGAATACTTTGTATATACGCACAGCTTAGAAAAGTCTTATTTTTTTTTTTTTTCCTTTTGTGTGTGCATATTTAAAGCAAAATGCTTTGGGTTAATCTTTAATGTTGCTCATACCAATTTTCTCTTCTCTCTGTTAAACCAAGATGTAAACATTACTCTAACTATATCAACTCTTCTGCACAGATAAAGAGGAACTTTTTGTACCTACTCCCAGTTACTTTGAGATTGTCTACCTGAACCCAGATAAACCTGCAGTCATCCCATGCCGTGTTACTACTCCTTCAGCAAAAGTAACTCTACACAGGGAATTTCCAGCAGAAGAAATTGAAACAGATGGAACTGATATTATTTATGATGTGAAGAAGGGTTTTGTCTACCAGCACCCTACTTCTGATCATAAAGGTATTGTCTACTGCAAAGCAGAGTCACAGGGAGCACCTCAGATTTCCATCAAGTATCACCTCCTGTATGTGGAAGGTAAGGTGGAGTTTTCTATATGCTTGCACCAACTCTTCTTTCTTCTGCTGACGTTATTTAGAAAACAATTTTAAAAAAAGAAAGTAAAAGTAACGTAATCACAGAGTTTTAAAATCTTGATCAAAAGTATATGTGATAAAACTTTGTAGGTTTAAATTCCAGCAGTTTCACAGAGTAGAGGGGAAAGTTGCAGGTGTACATCACTTACCTGTTGGATTAAGCAAACTGAGGCAAAAATTGACTCGTTAAGTTTTATCAGTGTATTTAACTTCAGAAGCTAACTTTCTGCTTCCAAACACTCTCTGTCTGTCAGTTCCCAAGGGCCCGCCCTCAACCACAATTGCGGCGTCACCCAATAGAGCAGAAGTCAGTGACAGCGTTCATGTGATCTGCACAGTCCTTGGGGAGCCAGATGTAGATGTGACTTTCAGGTGGCAGTACCCAGGGCAAGAGGTAAGAGATGTACGGCCTGGCTGAAATGGTTTGTTTTTCATAAAGGCAATGCTTTGAATGCCAGTCAGTCTCTAGATTTGGAGTAAAGATTCTTTCAGATTGTGGTGTCTGCCTCTTGCTAGCTCAGGCACGCTGGCAGGAGGAGGCAGCACATCCCTTTTGAACTTCAGCCCATCTTTCCCTGAGAGCCTAGAAGTAGCACAGGAATGAAGCTGGAGAGCTCTACCCCTGTTAGCAAAAATCAAGCTCAGCAAGGCTCACTCCTCCCTCAGGTTTCCATTCCAGAGACACTCGGCCGCTGGCAGCATTTACAAAGCAAAGCCTCAGACAGGGTCAAAGCTAGTCAGCGTCAGGAAGCTATTCTAGGGCAAGCCACAAAGCCTCACTGATGCCTCTGCATTTGATATCCCTTCCATCTCCGTGGCTCGGGCACATGAATCATCGCCGCACACAATCTTTAAGCTTCATTGTGGCCCACATCCAGAAGCACAGAAATCTGCTTCTGCCCAGCCTCATCTGAAAGAATCTGCTGGAAACAGCCAGTGGATCTTAGAACTTTGTTGGTCCTTTTTCTTGCACAAAATAAGGTGTATCTGACTAGCATCACTGACGGTCCCCCCTCTCTTCTCCCTCTGCCCAGCCTGACCAGTTACATTAGGGACTTGTTTCTTAACCAGCCTCATCTCTACTGCTGTTTATCCTAAGCATGCTAGGAGCAAAGGAAGGACTGCTGGAAGATGGAACCCTTCACCAGAGGAAGGGGATCCTCTAGGACCCGAGGGTTTGCATTGTATTCCATTTGCCGGCCCTCCTGGTGCTGGGGTGTCAAAGGACAATGCAGAGCTTGCTAGCAAGGTACTTGTATCAGCACTGGTCTGCCTGAGCCAGCATAGGATTAAGTCATTTAATGGCAGAGGTAATTGCTTGAGTGAGTGAGTGGAGTTCAGTGCTTACTAGCCTTGAGAAAATTCAAATCCAAAGCCCCAGAAGTTTGCTGTAGCCAGTAAGATAGAGACCGTAGCACTCCACTGTCCTGGGAAGCTGCGTGCCTTTTCAGGGGAAAAAATAGTGAGACATCAAGTGAGCGCAAAAGGGATTTGAACTGCTGGTGAGAGCACTGGGCATGTAGAACCAGGTTTCTAGTCCTTGCTTAAATGTTAGTTCGTTCTTTCACTTCCCCCTCTCCCCTCTACCTCATTTGGGGTTGGTGGGGGTTTTTTTGGTTTGGGTTTTTTTTGGGTTTGTTTTTTTTTTTTTTTCTTCTGCTGCTTGTCATAGAATTTACAAGAAAAAAAAAAAGATCTTGAATATGAAGAGGATGAAGGGGGAAAGACTGCAGCACTGAGTCTGATTTTCTCTCCCTTGTGTATCTGTAAGTCAGCAGCAAACGCAGAGAAATCCATATAGCCGCGCTAATACGGAATTAGCGTGAGTGGGATCAAGACCTCCAGACTGCACAAACTCTTATTTTGGGCAGCTTTGTTTCCCTTCAGTCTGAAATGCTGCTTGTAAACTCGGCCGAAGTACAAACTTCATCTTGAAGTCTGAGAGTTCGTGAGCATTTACCAGCTTGCCTCCCCTGCCCTGTCCTGGGTGTTAAATGAGGGCAGCCTCAACTGCATTTGGTGAGGGGCTTGGAACCGATAGGATGAGTAGGTGATCCTAAGAGTAACTACCGGATGGAGCATTGGAAGAGTTTGGCAGAATTCCTGTTCCTGGCATGCATTTGAAGTTAGGAAGGAAAGGGGTAGATGTGTAAGTGAGCAGAGAAACTTGCAGCTGTCAGGGAAGTAAAAAGTAAAATGTTGGGCAAACTGAAGTGCCTCCAAGTTCAGGGAGCTGCAGAGCAATAGTGTTTTTTGAGTTAAATGCCAAATGTCCTCCTCTGAATTTAGCTCTTAGCATTACTTTGAGTGAGATGCATCAACAAATAGCGGTGGGGCTTTAACTGTCACTCTCTTGGCGGGGGGAAGAGAAGAAATGCTCCTGCTGATCACATCAGCTTTGTGGATTCATATGGTTTTCTGGTTTTTGTGTGTGGTGGTGTTTTGGTGTGGTGGGTTTTTTTTGTTTTGTTTTTTTTGGGGGGGGGGGGGGGGGGGGGGCAGCTTTCCCCCATACCTGTTTATTTCAGCTTTCCCCCATACCTGTTTATTGGACTGTAGTAACTGGCTATACAAACCCCAATTTTATGTCTTTTGTAACTAACTGTAATTACTAAGAACAAACAATTGAAGGAATTAAATTCTAGACTCAGCCTGGCCTTCCAAAACTCTGTACCTTATTAGTGTCCACCCCTTGCCACGTAGACACCTTTCAGAGCTGAATGGCTGCCCCAGCCTGGTTGCTGGCTGCTCTTGGCCCACTTGCTCCCAGTGGTCTTACAGCACCCGATGCAGCGCTGGCATGTGCGCCTCTCTAGCGCTGATTAAACAGCTAAAGACGTGCAAATTATCTCCCTTGTTTGCTGTGGATGCAGCGCGGGGCACACGCGCTATCAGCGGAGGACTACGCCCTCTCGCTGCACCCACCTACAGGGCTTGAGAGAGAGACTTTGGCCCGTGGCCTGCATCGGCCCCGGGAAGGGCTGATGTGCTTATCCACTGGAATAAACAGCCTCAGCTCCAGCTGTGCCTGGGGATAGGGAGGGAAGAGTTGTGCTTGGGTTTCTGCCCCAACAAAATGATGAAGTAAACGCCAGAGTAGAAGCACTGTATGCTTGCTGGAGACTTAACGTTCATTAAGGAAGTGTTCACATACTGCAAAGGAAAAAGGTAGGGGGGGAGGGAGAAGAGAGAGGACCGTCAGTGATGCTGGTCAGATACACCTTCTTTTGTGCAAGGAGAAGGACTGACAAAGTCCTGAGATTCACTGGATGTTTCCATTCATTGCTGCTGCTTTCAGCACAGGGAGATCAGTGATAGTTTTTGTGCACTGCCACTGCCCCACCCAGCACCCCGGCTGCCACCTGCCACTTGATCCCGGAGCAGAAGCAGCACTTTAATCCCTGCTTGCTCCTAGGTACATTGCATTGGAGAGACCCTCCTCTCATCTCGGGGTGGTTTTTTGGTTGTGTGGTTTTGGTGTTTTTTTTTTTTTTCTTTTGTTTTCCTTGCCACTCCCTGACAATTGCATTTGCTCACTCACCTGCTGTGAATGCGTACTGATCCACTCCTTAATGTGATTCCCTGAAACTAGCTTCAAAGCAGAAGGCAATTAGTTTGAGAGAAACTGGGCTAGCAGGAGCCCCACCAGGCAAATAGCATCTGCCTTACGTGGCCTTTACCTTCACTTTCACTAGGGTCAGGGAAGTTCCACTTGCCATAGTTAAGAACTAACTTAGGCTGGAATTAAGTGTGGGGTAGTCCTTGATTGTAGGTAGCACTTGATTTTCAGGCTGGGAACAGGAGGTAGTGCTCTGCTAGGTAGAGCTCTGCTAAGTGGCTTGATTCCTTCTAAAGGGTTAAGAATTTCTAGATGAGTTTACCAGTTTTTCAAAGAAGTTCTTGCTAGCTGTAAATGCCTGCCACTTCCTAGGCAGTCCCTGACTGCACTGTGACTCGTCCCTAAGCTTCAAGAAGGCTGCCAGCATCTTCTGTACTGGTAATTTTGCAAGTGTGAGATTGTAGCTTTGGTTCTGGATAAGTAAGCGTCTAACTTATCCTTTTGCTACTATTAGCTTAAGCCTTGTAGCATTCATGTTGGTAGATGGCTAATCCATCTGTTCCATGAAGAGGAGATGGTGTCCAAGTGGAAATCTCTCTCTCTTTCTCTCTCTCTCACCAGTTTTATCCAGGTTATTGGTATAGCACAAGCCAACACGATTAAAGCTGCTGACCAGCATGATGGATTTTGGGCGGAAAGAGACTGCCTTAGCTTATCTTTGGGCTGGTTCCTCTTACCCAGTCCTTTGCAAACTTCTGAGGTGCCAGGGAGTGTGACCTGATAAACAGTCCATCAGAGAATTCTCTTAAAGAAGAGGGGAAAAAAAACCTGTTATAAATATACCACCACCACCACAGTCTAAAGAAAGCATCTTTCTAAGCATCCTTGTTTGCATTTGTGGCTTTGAAGTTACATGCACACTTTGGAAAGCATAATGTGAGGAATAATTTAGAAGCATTTGTGAATTGTTACTGTTTGCTTGTGTGTTATCTAATACAGTGTTTCTGCAACTAGAGGAGGAGGAATTAGTTTGCAACACATGATTTAAAGCTATTTTCTGTGCTAAAAGAGAACTCGGTAAAGTTTGGTCAACTAAGTCATGCCACTGCTGCCTACCTTTTTGAGACATGCTGCAAGCCTGAAAATAAGCTGACCCATCCATCCTGACATCTCCCCCAAGGCACCTCACCTGTTTGATCAAGCACCCAAACGCAGCCTCAGTAAGCGGCCCGCAACCGCAGCAGTGTTCATTCGTATACCCCAGGCAGAGCCTTGGCAGCCCGTCACTAACCTAAAGATCCGCGGTGCCTGCACCTAGAGTGGCAGAGCCATTGTATTAATTCTCCTTGTTTGGCGTAACTCGCTGGTACATCAGTGTTTAATGCAGGGCTGCCAGACGCCTTCACTTTCCTCACTTAAGGCTGACTTTTGGATATGGGCTCCTACGACCTGACCTCTTGCTTCAGGGTTGGATAGTAGTGCCCCTAAATACTCTTTGCAGAATCGCGTATTTTCTCATGCAGGTGGGTTTTGTTTTTTTTTTTTCCCTTTTAAACAGCCTGAGAGGCCTGTGATTATCCAAAACTTCTGGAGACTGATAAACAGAGGAACTGGACACACCACAAGAATCTCAAAGAGTGTTCTTCTTGTTGAGGATTTTGAAGCCAGAGATGCTGGAAACTACATCTGTATAGCTCAGAACCTACAAGGAGAAACAACGGTAGCTACTAAAGTTGAACTAAATTGATAGGAAAGGCTTCTGGACACGGAATGAACTCTATGTTATTTGACATTATAGCCATTTATTTTCTTTATTAATGTTTAAATGAAGTTTTCTCTATCACTGTCTCTTTTCGTATGTCAGTGCATTCCATACTCACTAGCTTGACAGGCCAAAACAGAGCTCCCTGTGCCCAGCAGTAGTCAGTTGTGAGTTTATAAAACTACTATGAAGCGTTAAAGCTCTCGGGCTTTCTTTTGCGTATGGTCTTTTTCCTCAAACTCTTCCATAAGGTTAACCCGCTGTATGGTTTTGGCCTTTTTTGTGTATGTGAGAACTGAGAGGATATTAAATATCTTCAGAAATTCAGCAAGCAGGTGTGTCTCTACTGGTGCTGTGCAATTTTCGAGTTTAGAGTACTGTACATGTTTTAAACAATGACAAAACCAAAAAAAAAAAAACCAACTTGTTACAGAATTAGCTAATAGCAAATGTTTATTTTGCAAGAATAATTAAATTTCTGAACATTATGAAAACATAAATGTGTGTGTGTTCCTTTCATATGTGTATAAAGACATAAACACACAAATATTCTCACTCCTGAGGAAGATTAATACTAAATATATATATATATATATATAAAGGTGCTAGAGGGTATCTTCAGAGACTTGTAAGTGGTTGCATATTCCTTATGCTGTTGCATTCTTACCACCTAATAATACGTAGCTTACTTAGAGTTTACTCCTCAATAGATGTACGGTGTTACGTTTGCTAAATTATGTAGCAAAGGATGTTTGCTAAAGGTAAAACTAGCGTTTATTTATATAGTATCATTTACAGAAGAAAACAACCCAAATGTAACATTATTCTAATGTTCAGTTATACAGCAGAATCTCTTCTGAGGTTAATAACAAGTTCAGCTCGATTGTATTAATTTACTTAGGAGAAAAGGAAAGAGGTTTCATGTGTGTGGAACTATATCTGGATAAATAAGCAACTGCTTCTCTTACCCTGGGTTTAGTTACCGATAGAAGGAAAGAGACTGCCCAGAGAGAAGGTAAGAACTTGCTAACAGTGGCGTTGGACGCTTTGGCAATGTTTTTTCTTCCTAGCCTCAAGCACAGAATCCACGTAAGCTAGAGCTTCCAATACAAATCTACTCAGTAGTGTAACTGTGTGACAAAAAGGTCTTAATGAAGCCATCTTAATTATAAGGCATGTGAAAAACAGCTTATCCCGAGCATACGAGGAACCAACCCAGGAACCGGTCCCGGAACCTTGCTTGCGCGCTTCAACGTGCCTCAGCCTGCGCCTGACTAGAATGCCTGAGGCTTGCTTCTGGCGAAGGCCTGAGGTAAGCCCTTTGCCCCAGGCACTGCAGACCCTTGAGCAGATGCCTATGGTACTGTTTTGAGTAGTGATATCTCATAAGTACTGATGTAACAATGGCAGCTTCTCAATAATGTCATTCACCTGATTATTAGTGTAGCTAATGAAAACATTAAACAAGCTTGCTAGAAGCTTTTTCTTCAGCATGCACGAGCCTAAAACAAAGTAATGGATATGATAAATATCCATGGTAAAGACTGAACTGGCTCTATGCATGTCTCACGAACTATGCTTCATGGAGAACGCTCCCCAGCTGCCCGTAGTACTGGTGGCCTCTGGAAACAAGGGAGCTACCAAAAAAAAATTAAACATAGCCAGCACTAGGACCAATTTTGAAGGCTTAAGAGGCAGGCCCTTGTTAATCTTCTTTCTCACTGCTATTAAAAGGTGTCAAGAATGTAACACTGTTACCCAACTGACTAGATAGGTGTTTTTCATAGTAATACCTAAAAGTGCTCTTTGTACCTTTTTTTTTATGGCAAGACTTCAGTCTGACCAAAGGAACTCGAACAATCCCTGAGCTTCTGGCTGAGGCTGTGCAATGTGCTAATTTCTTTTTAGCATTTTCATTTGTCAGAACAAGGTATTTCCCTTCAAAATTTCCACAGTTGGCACAGTCCTGTATTTCAAAGTGCTTTTGAGCCTTTAATTCGACAATTGATTTCCTTTGAAACATCGTAGCAAGTGGGAGATGGGGTCCCCTGTTCAGACTCGTTCAGCGGCACAGCGGTTCATGCGGTAGCATGGCTTCCTCGGTGGCAGTTTGGCAGGAGAGGAGACGCCGATGTAAATCTGTTGCCGCATCGCCGCTCAAGCGGTCCCCCTCAGCTTTCATGGTGACGTGTACCGATCGCGTGCGGTTTGCAAGGCTGATTGGAACTACAGCAGCAGTGCCTTTAAGGAAGAATTTCTGGTGGTGGTTGGTTGGTTTTTTCTCGCCCCCAACATCAAAATACTTCTCATCATTGTAAACTATGAGAGAATTATTTTACTATATGTTTTACATACTACTTATTTTGCTAAAAGCCTCCTGGGCAGGCCTGATTCTTTTTACATTGATGCAATCGCAGATCTCCCCACCAGTGACCCAGGGTAAGAGAATGAAGCCCAGGAAATGAAATTTAAGTGACTCGGCCCAGTCACATGCCTAAACCTGCCAGTATTGGTATTTCCATTTCCATACCTCAGTCAGCGCTCTGCTGAGGCAAGGCAGCAGCAGCGGACAGAAGGCATTTGTTTCCTAAGGGTTCAATGATTATTCCAACTTTCTGATGACCTTTTTAACTCCAGCTCAGCCCTAACTGATTTCCTGGCTGGCAGGCAACTACAGTTTTAAAGAACAGTGGTTACTTACTGTCTAGAAGGCATTTCCTGCAGTTTACATGCAAGTGGCTTTGGTGTTCGTAATGAGAAACTTCCAAGTCTTCAGTTCGCATAAGGAAATGATTCACCTCAGATTTTACAGCAAACAACAGTGCAACTCCTACAAAGCCCTTTAGAGAACAGTATTGAAGGGAGGTGACCCATGTTATGAATAGTCTGAATGGCAACAAACTATTTGGTAGCGATACAAGTGTCACTGTAACTTCCTTGGAAACTTATCATTAGAGTTGGAACTACTAGTTAAGGGTGAGTAGCTGAAGCAAATCACTCGTTTAATTGCTTGACAAGCACTAGACCTTTGGCATATATTTATGGTGAGCAGGTTTCTAGCTTTTCCTGGAGGAAACTTTCTGCTAAAGAAATAACCAAAAAACCATGTAAAAGTTAGTGGATCGAACAGAGCCTTTGCTAACACGTGGTATTTAAGTTAAAGCTTGAATTATTAGTACTCAAACGGAGAAAAATATTGAAACAGTACTTACAGATGAACAGAATTATTTAATTGTTTCAGACCAAAAGGACAAACACGAAACAGGTATTTCTGTAGTCAGATTTCTATATACCAGGATTTTAAATTCCTTCATAAGAGCATTAAAGATTCTACTTGCAAGAAGTTTAGAGGTGAGGAGTCTCCTGTATTGTGGAGGGAAACCATCGACAAATTAACAGTCTTTGTATTATTTACTATACCGTACTTACTTTTTTTGTACCGGTAGCCTGGAAAAGCTTTTCCCTTCTCGGTTACACGAAGGGGTACGCCATATCTGATCTTCAAACATTTGTATGTGCTCTTCTTGCATGTTTTATTTGAGGCACTAACATTGCAACTAAGATGATAAAGTTCTTACCAGTGGCTAGCAACTGTTCTTGTGACATGACCTGTTCGATTGATAAACTCTATGGGGCTTTTCTCACACAAAACACTTCCCAAATAGGTTGAGTTATAAATCATTTTAATAAGATGAGTCCTGTAGGATGCCTTTACCAGGCATATACACATTGGGTCCCTATATTAAGCCAACTGTACTCAAGTATTTATTACTTAATTCTGTCATGTTATCTCCATTCTCTTTTTTTGTTTTAAACAGCCAACTCAAACTGAATCGCTAATAATGCCAAGCAAGCTCTGTGTAACTTCTACCTACATTGGAGCAGCAAGGGTAGAGTTCAAGTTTTCTAGGCGTTAGCTGAACATTAATAATTTGTGCAGCAAACCTTCACTATCGCCGTTCTGCTGTGCTGAACAGGTACCAAGAGCAGTTTTTAGTACTTGGAGGAAAGTTCCTCCTTAGATTGAGGATTATTTGACTAATACAAGCAGGAGAAAAACTCTTCAATCAGTACAAAAAAATTTATTTCTTAAGCATTCAGCTCAAATACATGTGATCAAATCTCTTTGACCATAGAAAAGAAGAATGTTCCAAGATATTTTACACCAAGTTTTAGCCACAGAGGATTTTCATAGTTAAATCTGAAACCCCTAGAAAACATTTGAAGTACTGACACCACTAACAAGTGGTGTGTACAGTGCCCTAAAGAGGATTAAAAGAGAGCAGGATGTTCCATAGAAATGGCACCCTTAACTTGTATGTTATGGAAAATGAAGTAAATTTAATGATGAAACAGTCAATCACAAGCTTAAGTATATTACAAGTTTACTTACTGTATGAGAGCACTGTTGACAGTCTTGTTTATATGTCCCTGTTCCTCATTACTAGCCAAGATTTTTCAAGTCTTGGGTAAAACGGTTTGAAGTGGTTCTCCAGGTGTGTCCCCTAAACACTTTCCATCCCCTACTGAAAGATACAGGGAAACGCAGCAGCTACAAGTTCCCGTAAGAGTTCCCTGCACAGCTAGCTACCAGCACGAGCGGAACAGTACTCTAAGAGTGCTCCTGGAAGTGGGACTGTAAAACCCGAGCTATTGCAAGCATAGAGAGTGTTTTGTAATACTAATCTGAAGTTGGACCTGTGTTTCCTAGGTCCAATGTAGACACCTTAAACAGGTCTGACCAAGGGTGGAGCAAGGCTACCTCATTACCTTGCTGAAGCTCAGCATGTGACATTTCCAGAAATGCCAACACCCTCAGCCTCCAGGACAATTTTTTTTCCCCTGCTCCACAGAATCTCTGGTACAGGATCTTCTGCCAAATGAACTGGCAAAACACCGATATCCTGCAGTCTAAGAGGGGAGGTATGGCACAATTAGCAAGATAAATACCTGCTGCCACCTTCCCCCTCTTCCTCAGGGGAACTTGGCCAGCCCTGAAGAATGTTAATACAAATGCTAATGCTTAAAAAGGCAAAGTGTGTCACCAGATACATTGGAATTCACAAATTACTTCAGAT